TATGACGGATTTTTTTGCCATCCCTCCAAGACATCTTGTCATAGACATCATTCCATCAATCTTAAGTTCAAAGGCATTAAATAATTCTAAAAAGTAGCCACCCTGCAGTTTAGGTCTGGCATGTAAAGAGTAGAATGACAAGTGACTTGATATGGTGATTGTTGCAGTGTGGTCACATCAATTAATCATAGAAAACCTTGTACGAATGATGTTCTAGGGGAGGTGGCTTCATGTGCCTAAAGCCTATTTCCTTCTAAAAGGTTAAACCCTAACCTTAAGGGTCCCCCACCACCCCTGTCCTGGAATATCGTGAGGGAGGTAAATCGCAGGTTATGCTTCCAAGGGTATAGGGTGGAAGGTTGCTTGTACACTTGCACTTACCCAAGAGCCAAATTCATATTTCAGGATTCGAACTCTTGACGCAGCAGCCTCAAGTAAAGCTGGATTTCTCCACCCTCCCCTTTTACCACTTGGAGATGTGCCCTGAAGGCCTATTTGCTTCTAATTAGTGTTGCAGCAGGTCATATCGACTCACCGTGTCCATGCAATGTTTGGTCTCTATATGAATGTTTGACAAATTCGACGGAGTTCATCACTCTGACTATCTAGGGTCCTCGAATAGATCAAGTAGGGTAGTGATGATGAGTGTGTGTCCAAGTTCTCTGTCGTTTATTGGAATCTCATTAGATGAGATGTGACAAACTCTAAACTCAATTCTAGTCCCTAAACCACAACAAACTCAATCAAGAAAGTTAGGGGGATGAGCCAACAAAAAATTATTTTTCTATTCGTCTCTAACCTCATTCAAGAATTGTAAGTACACTCCATATGCTCGTCAGATCTATAAGTATTATTCACTTCTTCACCAATCATTTACACTATTTACACACAATCATAGGTTCTATACTGTGCACTTCAAATCATGAAGACAGATTTAACCAACAGAATTCACAATTTCTTAATATTCTACACCAACAAAATATCTCAAAAGAGTGCATTTGATGGCTAATATTTTTCATGAAAAATGTTATTTTTCATCCAAATTTCTATTTTTGTACTGTTTGATTAATATTTTTCTAAGATAAATATTTTTCTACTTGGTCACGTAACTATATTTTCCTTGAAAACAAGGAAAATATTTTATAAGGGAAGTATGTTTTTATTTTTCAGTTAATTCATTTCCTCTTTCTTTCTCTTCTACTCCCTCACTCTCATCTACCTACTAATAAAAAATGAACAAGTATAATATTTTATAAGTTGAAAATAAAATCAATCAAACATATTTAATTAACAATTTTCACGCAAATAATTTTTGGAAAATTTAATTGCTTAAAATTTATTTTCTTTTCATATAAATTACATGCTTACAATCAAACACATTCTAAGTATTTCGTAGATAGATCAAAACCTTTTCTATTTTGGTAATTTTGACAATAGTTTATTTTTTTCCAATTAAACATTAATAAAATGGAAGTATATATAAATAATGGATTAATTTCCAATGAAATTATAGACGTGGGACCCAGTTCTGTGGGTCTTCAAGACCTGGCACAACTTGTCAATCTTATCGAACCAAACAACCACAACTGCAATTCATAATTTAGAGTTAAATTTAAAAGCATTATCGTCACATAAGTTAAGATTTTGTTTTTGAAAAATTGTTCCTCTCATTTGTTTGTTAACAAAATCTAGTCGGCCAACTGGTGGAATATAATGCTCTAATTGTGCAATGTGTTGGTAAATTCTGTAATTTATATTATTTTCAAAGATTAATTTATATATCTTGATTAGTTGTTGTCTTTCAATCAACAGTATTTAAAATATTTATTGAAATATATTCATTTGAAGTGCATGAATTTGGACTTTTTTTTATTTTTTATTTTTTTGTCATCAGTTCGACGGCAAATATATTAATGTAACTAGGAAGAAAAAAAATCTATTGTTCAACGGTCACGCCCACAGACACGGCAGTTATTTGATTTAAATAACTCTGATTAGTAATATATATTATAAGATGATTAACAAATGGATTCCTCAATAATAATGTACGGACAGATGTACAAAAGTCAAAAGAGAAAGTACAATTGTCGACAAATTTGATTTATTTTGGCTTAAGGTTATGTCATTGGAAAAAGACTTTCAATACTTTATCAACCAATCCTTGTACATTTCAAATAGAGAAATTAAAGTCAATATTCCTACGGATGTTATCTTTAATATTATAATTATTAGCAGCTTGTTTGGGAGATATTTTTTGTCCCAAAAAATTGATTTTTTGACCGTTATTTCACTATTTTAGTCGTCATATTTGACTTCCTCTCTCACATGTAGACCCCACTTTTTTCCTATTGGTCAAAAAATCAATTCTCAAAATCAATCCCAAACAGACTCTAGATATAGTTGTAAATTCGACAAGACAATTAATAGAAGAAAACAAAAACGATGTATAAGAATAATGAAGCAAAGTCTGCCACTCCAAATATTTTGAAGGTGTGCACCGGTGCTAACAGAATAATAAAACATGTGCCTCCCTAAATACCAGAGTTAGTCTAGCACCATACCATTATTTTTAGTCGAACTACAATTTTGACCATACTCTTCTTTAATTGGAATAATAATAATAAACTTTTACATGCTTGTAAGATCAAATAAGGATTTCTTAAACAAATTCAAAAATATTTGAGAATTGGTGCACCTTTAGACGCTAATTGATTTATATCGTTAAATCACACTATTTCAGATCGAGATACAATGTGGCATTCTGATTCACCACCCTATTGTAATGGTTCATGACTCTTTCGTATTCACTTGTTGCACTAAAGCTATCTCCTTAGTTATCGTACTTAGTCAATGTTATCACCATGTTGGATCACGTAGCTAAGTTATCGCCACTCGTGTGCCACCCAATGAGCACCTCATTGCGCCACGGTTCTATTTTCAAAAACTCTAAGGCTCCTAAACTCCTAGAGGCAATGCTTATATCCAAAGTGTAAAATAAACCTCTAAAGTGCCCAATGACAACGTGTGCAAGCTTGGGCTTGGGTTGGATCATGGCCGAGTCGTGGGCACTTTCACGAGTGAAAAGAAGTCAAAATTTGTTAGAAGTTTGAATGAAAGATTAATTTTCCACATATCTAAAGCTTCTCAACATAAATGTTCTAGAGACTTATTTCAATTCACCTCTTGTCCATTTAACCAACCAAGTTAATATACGTTGTAACAACCTAATTAACGCCGTTAATTAAAAATGGCACCCACCTAACAAGTTGTTCAAAGTTTGCTAAAAGTTTGTTAAACTCATTTAATAACTCCTATAAATTTAAATTAACTTCAACAATATTTGATACGTTACATGGAATTAAACAAGTTTGCTTTCACTCAACTCCCAAATATGTCAATTAGGTTTAATATTCTTTGAGTTCAAAAATTTTCGCACTCACCCAAGATTGATGAGCCATCTTTATCCCAATTCTTAAGCCTTCTTTAGATGTCTTTCTCGTGGATTATGATCTTAATTATATTTTTCTTCATCGTTTGACCGTGCTTAAGCTAAGCTTTAAAGTTTAGACTTAAATTTAAATAAATTATTATTCTCAAGTTGTATTTAACTATATTATATTTTCTATTAGAAAAGTAAAATAAGAATTTTTTAAATATTAAAATTGTACTACATTTAAATTCATCAAACTCTATTAAGAATTTGTTGTAACGTGTGATGTGAATCACAAACATTGCGAAACAGCTGGTTTAAAATTGAGTCGAGTAGGACAAGTTTTAGGATTGTTGCCAATACTTTAATGAATTTGATATAAAATTATTTAAAAATTAATATTTGGTCACGTCTATAAAGTATAAAACATTAAAATCTAATGATGTGTATTTTATATTGAGTTGGTACGGAAACCGACGATCCTATCTCAATTCAAGAATAATTATTATAATCATGAAGAAATAAGTAGATAACAAATATCCTCATTCAACTAATCTTCATTTTTAACCAATATTTATATATATGATTATTCCCACAATATAATTTTAAAAAATGCAACTCGCAAAATTTTTAAGGAGCTGGAATTCAACTAAATGTGCAACTATACATAAAATAAACACAATCTAGGCTAACGTACAAATCATGATATGATAAGAACGATTGTGCGAGTATTCATGTCAATTTTCTACGTTCAAAATTTGTATTTAACGTTATAATGGACAACATTTATGTTATTATACCTTGGGTTCCCTCTTAATTGATCAACTTGTTAAGAGGAGTATGTTTAACTCTTATATGCTAGTTATTGTTTCACTATTTAATCGATATATGATTGACAAATACTAGAATTTGAATGCTCGTTCGAGAAATTTTTTTAATGGATGAATCGCTTCTGCGAGCTTGTTAAACTTTAATATATTAAGTTCTAAAGTTTTATTTAAATGCCAATTTCGTCTAAACCTCCTTACATATTGATTATTATTTTAATATTCAATTTACATGAAATTTATTCCCAACAATTTACTACTATTCGGTGTAACTTAAATAATCGAAATGTGAACTAGCTAGTCGATTTTGATGATGAAATGACCCGCTTGATGATTATTCTAACTAATTCTAAAATTTCCATGTTTAACCGGTGACAAGACTGGATTTTTACTAGGTTTCCATATTACTGGTTCAATTTTGATGGTATTGATGAAGTCATAAATAGATTTTTTTCAAAATATTTACTCTAATTAAATGATAAAATATTGTAACAGTCCACATCTAGTGCGCAGTAGTGCACATTGATTTGTTCAACGCTGTAATTTAATGCTCACTGCAAATGGATATAATCGCAGAAATAATAATGTGGAAGTTGACCGTATTTCACGGGCAGCCAGGCCTATATGCTTTTAGAGTTGACTTTTTTTCTAATCAGGTTATGTCAGTACGCAATATACGGCCTCGCTCATCCGTACATCTATTATATATATACACAACTCTCGTCTTTCACATATAAGAACTCGTACTTATCTCCGCCCACTCCAGCCCCACCCCACTCGCGCCCCTTCTGTATCTATAATCTATATTCATATATAAATATACATACAGGCTCCGTTTGTATGTAAAGATGATGTACGAGCAGCGACACCAGAGGATGGACATGAAGAAGAGGTCCCAAGATAGGAGAAGAAAATCATCAAATGTAGAACAAAAGCTTGAAATTGTTGATCTTAGTGGGATGTCTTTGGAGGCTCTGCCTAACCCTCTTCTCAATCTAGGGACCATCTGCAAATTTGACCTTTCCAACAATAATCTGCAGGTACCGTTTCATTGAATAAATGCCATGTTTATGACTCTGTACGGTTAGATCTTTCAGTAGATGTAACCATAGATGTTAATCGAACGCGGGTTTTTTTTTTTTTTTTTTTTTTTTTTCTGATAGGTTATGTTGATCGATATCTCTACTCGTCAATCTTTTTGGATTGGGGTAGACTCTTAAGGTGCTAAAGAAGTGTTGAACTAGTCGGGACATTTAGGTGCACCAGTTGATTCCTTTCTCCAATAATCTTATGCAAAAAGTTTTGGTTCATGGTTAGAAAATCATTAAATGGGACCGGGATCAGTAAAATCTTTTGAAGTTTTATGTAACTACCGTTTTGGTCAAATTATATATTAGAGACCTAAAAGTCACCAAATAGTTCTATACATAGGGGATGATATACATACATAATGGTGTAGATAAGAGTTTAACCCCCTCACATGAAGAGTAACCCGCGTATGCTCCCAGGGCACATCTCCAAGTGGTAAAAGTGGAAGGTGAAGAAATCCAGCTTTGCTTGAGGCTGATGCGTCAAGGGTTCGAATCCTGAAATATGGATTTGGCTCTTGGGTAAGTGCAAGTGTACAAGCAGCCTTCCACCCTATACCCTTGGAGGCATAACCTGCGATTTACCTCCCTCACGATACTCCAGGGCAGGGTGGTGGGAGACCCTTAAGGTTAGGGTTTAACCTTTTTTTTTTTTTTTTTTTTGAATAACCTACGTACAATAAATTATGCGGGCCCTTCTTCATGTGAAGAGATGTAAACCCCTATATGCACTCTAAAGTGTACAAGTATCAATTCCCTTTATACGTACATCAAGTCAACACATACATTTGGTAAGAATTATGTAAGTTAATATGGCATGATTCTAAAGATAAATTATGTATAAAAAAATTTTGGGCATGAAGATAGATATAATTATCGTGCTTCTTGCTTTTTGAATCGTGTTGAATATAACATATATATGAAACATATTAAAATTTATAGAAAAATACTTGCTATGTATTGTGCAAAGAGAATAATATTATTAGAAAAATTATCACTATTGGTGTTTATTTGTAGCTCCATATGTGGAACTATTATTGTCATTACAAAATATGACTCCTAGTGCAAAAGATGGAAAGCCATCATAATGTATATTGACTTGTGCCCAAGATTTAAAATATCACCCACAATAATGGAATATTTGGTAGACAGAATTAGAAATATATAGTATATCATGTACATGGATACGTCTATCATATCCTATAGTCATGTCGACTCCAGCCTTTCAAATTTATATGACAAATTATATTCCAATGATTAATCGGCGCTTTCCTGCATCAGTTACTAAAACTTTTTCTCTTCTTCATTTGGCAGATTATACCAGAGTCTTTAATAGCAAGGCTTCTTAATGTGGTCGTGTTCGATGTCCACTCGAATCAGCTCAAAACCCTTCCAAACTCAATAGGTTGCTTGTCAAAACTCAAGGTTTTGAATGTATCTGGCAATCTTCTTCAATCTCTTCCTAGGACCATCGAAAACTGTAGGTTTGTCATGCCTCCTTTACCCTCACTATATAATATTCTGTGTTGAGATATGATGCTTTGCTGCTTAGCAACGATACTTAGTATATCATTTCTCCTTTTGTATTTTAGTTCATTTATGTAATATTTCTTTCATGACTAGTTTTCTGACATTATTTACCATAGAATTCTTGATTAACTCATATGGAAAATTAAGCTAGAATAATCTTTTGTGTGATCATATCTTGATTCTCAAATGTTTGTCACAACAAACAAAAGTCAAATTTTCGTTGTCTTCAATATGACTCGATTATCTTCTAGATGTAATTCTTCAATTTTTCATTGTTGTCTATATGACTCTCTTCCTATCATGTTAATCTCATTGAGTTCAGCATACCAAACATGCATATCCATTATCTTCTAGATATAGAGGGTGTTTAGTGGAGATTAAAATTAGATTTTTTAGTAAATTGTAATAGAAGTTTTTGAAATGTGTGAAAAGTTGTGAGATTCATGAAAAATGTGGTTAATATTGATTGTTTGACTTTGATTTAGATTTTTATCCGTACAAAATGGGCTCATAATTCTTTTTGGTGCAATCTATATCGATGATTCGATCTTGCATGCACTAACATTAAGTGGTGTAATCTACAGATCATTGGAAGAGTTGAATGCAAACTTCAACCAGTTAACACAACTGCCAGACACAATTGGATTTGAACTTCTCAACCTCAAAAAGCTTCATGTAAACTCAAACAAGCTTGTATTCCTCCCTTCCTCCACCTCCCACCTAACTAATCTCCAAATACTAGACGCCCGCCTGAACTGCCTCCGGTCGCTCCCCGAAGACCTTGAAAACCTAATCAACCTCCAAGTCCTCAACATTAGCCAAAATTTCCAGTACCTTTCAACTCTACCATACTCCCTAGGCCTCCTTATCTCTCTTGTTGAGTTGGATGTCAGCTACAACAAAATCGCCGTTTTGCCAGCATCTATCGGTTGCCTTAAGAAACTCCAAAAACTTAGCGTCGAAGGGAATCCGCTGGTGTCTCCCCCACTCGAACTTTTCGAGCAGGAATTGCATGTGGTGAAAGAGTACTTATGTGACAAAATAAATGGACCCCAGAAAAACTCCCCCAAGAAAAAGTCATGGTTTGGTAAGTTGGCAAGATGTTATACATTCAATGGGGCAAACATACCCTATGATGATAGAGAAGGGTTCGCAATGCCCAATTATAAGACCATTGATGGCCTTTCTTCACCTAGTTACATGGGGATGTTTTCTCCAAGAAGACTCTTTTCACCTAAGACCTACTTTTCAAGATAAGGACTTGAAAATCCACTGGTAATGAAGTCAAAATTAATGTTTATTTTTCTTTCTATCTTTTATTAGGTTTTAAAAATGCATATTTGTAGTGTGATTTTTGTAGCATATTCTTGCGTGTTTGTAATTAGTAATTTGTAATTAATGGTGGCGCTCTCAGTTAAATTTTATCATGCGTCCTCTGTAACATTCAGTTATGAACTGTACATGAGATATTCGCTTGCTGTAATTCATGACTATACGCAACGAGAGTGAACATTGCTTAAACGCAGGCGAAAGAGAAATAGTTCTACAAAATCTTGATTTAGAATCATGTTACCGAAAATTCAACTAGCAAAAATAAACACATAGTTGTGTAATTTGATGTGAAATGGTATGGCCAGAGCTGGCTTGAGTATAAAAGTTAATTAGAGACGGATCTAGTATTTTGTTAAAGGGATCAAAACTTAAAGAAAGTCAATATAATAAAAGGGTATGTAACAAAAAAAGTTGGGTGGACATGGTTCCATTTTGTTCTGGTTCTAAAAGAATCAAACTGAACCATGAACTAATGATTTTAATTTTTTTATAATGGAACCAAATGATTTTTTTAAGCTAGGAACCAAATCGGAACCGAACTTAAAGGGGGCCAAAAACCCACACAATAAGTTGCAAGATTCAATCGATCAAAATAACAAAAATTAAACTTGTAGAAAATAAAGAACACAACAAGATTTTTTGACTGAAGCCCTAGAGGTTCTCAGTGATTAAGCACTTAATCCCCTGTTGAGCATCCAATCGAAAGTGGATATTGTTCAGTTGCACTAAAGCCCCCAAAAACAGGCAATCGAAGGTTATGGAGTTCAACCACTACAAAAATACACAAAAAAGAGACTTATCTCTTCAAAATGAACTACTAATCTGCCTCAGACCCACAACGAATCAACAGACCACATCCCTAACCTCAACACATGAGGACTCTAAGTATTACTCTAGAATATACAAGTATTCAGTGGTTAAAACCTTCAAAATACTAATCGAATGAGAAGATTGATTACAAGAAAAGAGAGAAGCAGAAAACCCTCGCTAGAAAGCACAGAAGAACTCTCTCGAACCCTCACATGAAAAGTCAAACGAATGAACAGTCACACGGCCAAATGAAGCGTCAAGTCCTTTTTATATCACCAAAAAATGTAACCCTTCATCTAGGGATGTAAACGAGCCGGGCCGAGGTGGCTCGCGAGCCTAAAGTTTCGGCTCGAGCTCGGTCCGGTCAAAATGGCCGAGCTTTTTTGCGGGCTTGAGCCGGGCCGAGCTTTAAAATAGGCTCGACCCGAACTTTGCTAGGGCTTTTTCCAGGCCGAGCCGAGCAGGCTCGTTTTCTGTCCCCCATCTTTTTTTTCTTCCTTCTAAACTGATACCTTAAAAGGCAGCAATTCGTTGCCTGCCTTTTAAAAGCAACAAGCTGCCGTCTTTAAAAAGCAACAGTTTTGCTGCCTTCAGCCTCAAAATTTTAATTTTAATTTTTTAAAAAAAAAAACTCGTGAGCTCACGAGTCGGCTCGGGCAAAGCCCATGACCCCAAAATGGGGAGCCGAGCCGGCTTGGGTTTTTCCCGAGCCGCGTCATGGGCGGTCCAAGCTGGTGAGCCCGATTGCCATCCCTATCTTCATCCAACGGTAGGAATAGTGCGAAGTGTCATCATCAAGCGGAATGCCACTTGTAAAGTCGCGTTTTCATAATACGTTTAATGGGCTAAAAATATGGGATCATCAATACCACAGTTTGAGTCACAACACGAACCATTCGATTTTGGTTTGACTAGGTTTGGTTCTAGTTTAATTTCTTAAATTTTCGGACTTGCATCTTATCTATAAGGTAGTATTATATAAATAATAATAATAATAATAACAATAATAATAATAATAATAATAATAATAAATACCAAACATACAGCATGTTCAAATTATCAATCATCAAAATCACAAAAATCTAAACTAACAATCAAGATATAATCATAATTTGAAAACACAAAACAATTTTCATTCCCACATGAAAGATTATCCAGTAAGTAATAACAATAATTAACTCAATTAATTGCGGTAGTTTTGACGGCACACTCCCACAATAAAAGATGAATTATGCAAAAATTTTACGATCCACTTTTATAGTTAACCATTAAACATTTAATACTCCACGAACATTTATTGGATTTTCCTCTATTTGTAAATTAAAAAAAAATGTCAAATAATCCAAGTGAAAAATATTTTAAAGGCTTTTTAAGTAACTGACCAACTCTATTTTCAATCTTGAAAGAGTCGCCTCCATTGACGTGATGAAATGTAGCGTCGGCATGCCGTGATGTTATGTAAATTGAAAATGAATGTAAGAGAAATAATTCAAATGAATATATATATATATATAAAATTAAGTTTGTTTCTGGTTCTAGTTCTCTAGAACTAGAACTAAAACCAAAAGTAAATGTTTATCGATTTGAAGGACTAAAATCATTATTTTTTTTGTAAAATCAAACCGAACCGCTCAGTTTGGTTCGATTCTATTTTGATTTGGTTTGGTCGAGACATCTTATCGACCCCTAGACATTAATATTTATTTAAGTCATTCTCATCAAAAATTTTAAACATTATATATGTTTATAATAGAATCTAGACCTATTTTTTAAGCAAATTCACATTCATGAAGTGTGGCACAATGAGAATGAAGGTTGATTTTCGGTCAGTTCATCTTTAAATATACTTTCACCAGATTCATATGTCTTTTTAAGGAATAAAAAAATTGTTTTTCCCATATTGGCAGGTTCATCTTTCATCTGTAAATTCTAAAAACCGCGAAAGAAAAAAGGAGAAAATAAAGCGACACAAAAGCTAACAAAATAAATAACAATCTAATTTAAAAATAAGCTGGCAAGGCAAACAAGTTTCGAATAATTAAAAATTAGTATGCCGACAAGGAAACAACACTCCAAATAATTCATTTAAATAATAAGTACCTACTAAATGTGTGTATTCCAAGAGTGGTGTAATATTGAATGTGGAATTCAAGCAACTCGAAATGAGGAATCAAATTTCAAATCTATCAGAACTAGTAGAGTAAAATTTGAGTTGAATTAGAATTAATAAACCATGAATAAGTTAATTTGACAATATGATTCACAGATAGTGCAATGGTCCAATATGGCTTTGCAACCTAAATTTCTAAGTGCTATTTTGGTGTAAAATCTAAATTTTGTTTAGGGTGTCTTTGAGATTGTGATTAATTTTTAAAATTTTTCTAAATTTAAGTTTTTTCAATTGAGATTTTAATTGATTTTATTGAAATCCATTTCATTAAAATTTAGATGTCCCAAATTGAGATTTTAATGAAATTTAATAAAATCTTTTAAAATTTAGAGTGTGTTTGATTGGTTTTATTTTCCATAAAAATGTCATTTTTATCCAAATTTCTATTTTTGGAATGTTTGATTTAAAAAAAATATTATGAAATTTTTTTTCAACTTTTGATCATGTAACCATATTTTCCTCAAAAACAAGGAATATATTTTCTTTAGAAAGTGATGATTTTTATTTTTCAGATAATTCACTCTCTCTTTCTTTCTCTCATCTATCTCCTCTCCCTCTCATCTACCAATGAATAGAAAATGAACAAATATAATATTTTATAGACTGAAAACTAAATCAATCAAATACATTTAATTAATAATTTTCATATAAATAAATTCTAAGCAATTGAATTAACTATAAATTATTTTATTTCCATACAAATTTCATGCTCCCAATTAAATGCACATTTAGTTATCCTTAATAACTAGATGGATTTATAAAAATTTCATTAATAAAGAGATTTTAAAAGATTTTGATGGCCTTCAATCTTAAAAATATTTATAACCAAATCTTTTAAAATTTCACCATATTTGATGAGATTCTTGTGAAATTTGTAAAAATCTTCAAATTCATGAAATTCATTAGGATTTATAATATTTTAAAATCCATCAAAATCTTAGTTGAGACGCTAAAGTTCTTGATTATATAAAGATTATATAAGCATCATGCATTTAAAATCGAACACGATTTATTTTCTTCCTATTTGCAAGAATTTATTGAGTAATGTCATGAAATTTGCTTGGAAAACTTTGACTGAAACATCTCTTTGGTCAAAATTTTTTAGGGCAAAATATATAAAAGACAAACATATATCCCAAGTGGATGCTGCTAAAGGATCAAGATTCTGGAACATGATTATGAGGTGCATGCCAAATGTTCTTAAACGATCTAGATGGCGAGTGAAGGAGGGTAGTGTTTCGTTTTGGTAGGATAGATGGTCAAACATGGATCCTTTGGGGGATTGGATGATGGTGGTTGAACAGCCTAAAATCTTGATCAAAGATCTTAAAGTTGACAATGGGTGGAATGAAAGGCTGTTGTAGGAGCTTGTTGGGAGAGATCAAGCTGGAGAAGTTCTTGTTAAATTGGGAAAAAATGATACAGGTAAAGACAAATGTGACTTCTCCGTCCCTTTAATTCCTACTTTTTTTGAATTCAATCACAATTAAAATTTGATTCTGAATCAAATTCTAAGGGTGGACATGATTTCATTTGATTCTAATCGAAGAGAATCGAATCGAACCAATGACTTTTTTATAATGAAACCAAATGTTTTTTTTCCTTTATTTTTTTTTTAAATATGGAACCAAATCATAACCAAACAATTCGATTTTGGTTTTGTTTGATTTGGTTTGGTTATTGTTTCATTTCTTAAAGTTTTAGATGTGCACCATATCCGTAAGTTAGTAATATGTACCTAAATAAAAAATAAATATCAAACATTCATCAAGTTCAAATTATCAATTATCAAAATCACCAAAATCCAAATTAACAAACAAAATATAGTTATAATTTGATGACACAAATCAATTTTCATTTTCATACAAAGATTGTCTAATAAATAATAACAGTGATTCACTAAATTAATTGGAGTAATTTTAAAGGCACATTCCCACAATAAAAGATGAATTATGCAAAAATTTTACGATCCACTTTTATAGTTAACCATTAAACATTTAATACTCCACGAACATTTATTGGATTTTCCTCTATTTGTAAATTAAAAAAAAATGTCAAATAATCCAAGTGAAAAATATTTTAAAGGCTTTTTAAGTAACTGACCAACTCTATTTTCAATCTTGAAAGAGTCGCCTCCATTGACGTGATGAAATGTAGCGTCGGCATGCCGT